TAGCACCGACCCAGCGCCACAGGAGCAACCTCCAAGCTCCCAGTGGGGGATAAGCAACCAGCCACAGCACCCAGCGGCCCAGGAGGAAGCCGGGCAACAAGCCAGGCCCAGAAGCAGCAACGATCCGGCACCACGGGAGCAACCCTCGGCTACCCAACATGGGACCAGCAACTGGCAGACGCACGCGGCCCAAACAGCAGCAGCAGCACACCACCAGGGCAGCCTGGCTGACGGCCCAGCCGCACGACCACAAACAGCCAGCGCCTCCCGCGAGGCACGCACCAGCAAACAGGCTACAGCGGGGGAGGCAGCCTACCAACAGCGCAGCAGAGAGTCTCCATATGAGAGGTGGAACAGAGAATACCAGGAGCGCCAGGCCGCAGCTGCTAGCCAAGGCTGGTGGGGGGACAACACCCCTAGCCAAGCCGCCGCAGGATGGCCGCAGCAGCAAGCCAGCAACACCGGAAACAACCAGCAGGAGCCGCCCGCGCCCCAGCAAACAGCAGCGACAGAGCAAGGGGGGTGGGGAACGACCCAGCCACACACCCAACACGCCAGCAGCAGCGAGGCCACCACAGCGCAAAGCTGGCAACCAGCCCAGTGGCACTACGGTGACACCAGCTCCCGCCAGACACAGGGGACCACTCAGCCACACACCCAGCACCACGCAAGCAGCACCGAAGCCTACCAAGCAGACAGCTGGCAACAAGCACAGTGGCAAGACAGCGGCGGCAGCTCCCACCAAGCATCTGTGTGGGGCGCAGCACAAGAACAGCCCAGCAGCAGCAGCAGCAGCCACACGACTGCCTGGGGGGAACACCGACCTCTCAACACCGACCCACTCTGGGACGGGCGCACACTCCGCCTCAGTGCAGCAGCACGAACACACAGACCCCATGCAACGACACAGCAGCGTCACGGCAGCACAGCAAGCGCTACAGGCGGCCAACCGCAGGGGGGAAACCCAAGCCATGGCCTTGCAGCAGCAAATACAGCTCATCCACGACATGGCGGAGCACGTGGGGGGAGAGCCGGGGGCAGCCATCGCCACCTTGTGCGAAGTAGTGGCGCGACACGTCTCGCTGATGGCTCCGACGGGGGCACTGCCGGAGACGTGCAAAACCAGCCGGAAGCGAGCGCTTACAGAGCCCAACGTCCTCGTCGAAGCACTTTCCTTGACCTCCAGGTTTTCCTTTTCGGGGGGAGCCTCCTTGACTTCTGAAGAGCGCGCATGGGACATGGCTTTTCTTATCCGTGTGTTGGAGATGGGGGAAAGCCAGCTGCTAGAACCTATGCCAGCAGCGGTGGGGGAGGCCGACGTCCAACGAGCTCTACAAGGCCTTCGCAGAGCAAGGGAGATAGCAGCAGAACTCCGAGACAGAGCCTTGAGAGGGGAGCCGTGGTGGGACCTCCCCATCGACTTGTGGGAGCAACTACGCCGCAACACAGCGCCTGCTGCGTACCTTGTCGAGCGCAGGGGGGAAGCTTTCGCCGACGAGCCGCCAACCCTCAACCGCGAGGTGCGACCGCGACTACAGGACACGGCGCGGGGGAGCTCAGACCCCCCGCCTCTGCCAGAGCCTACGAATACGACAACAGCCGCTGGAGGGGAGAGTGCCATGGAGCCCGCGCCTGCTACCACAACTGCCCTTCTCCTCCTCCACGAGGCGGCGCAGGCATTCCGAGGACTCGTTCCGCAGCTGGGGGAAGGACAAGCGGCCATTGCCGTGCAGCTCCTACACGCAGTGGACCCCGCTTGGCAAGCTTTTTCCGGAGATGTCCACTCCATCCAGGACTCAACGCAGACCTTGGAGGCGGGGGACAGCCAGGAAACAGTGCCTGCTCCGCAATGTGAACAAGATGGAGACGTGGGGGACACCGCTGTCACACAGGCCGCGCCCGACGTCCCTCAGACAACCCAGCGCGACACGGATGCAACGGCCACACTACCTGCGGGGGAGCGACCTGACTACAGCCTGGGGAGCGACATGCCAGGCACAGAGACAGAGGACGAAGCCTTCGGTTTGGACCGCAGGCGCAGGACACCCGTGAACAGGGGGGATCCGCAGACATCGGCCTGGACCACGCTGGTGGGGATCACTCCCTCACAAGCGGAGCCCTACATCACCGCGAGCCTGGAAGAAGATGTGCGAGCCCTGGGGAGACCGACCCAGGCTTTGGAAAGCCAAGCCGCAGAAGCTCCAGTGCCGGGCGGGGGGACCGCCGACCTCCCACCAACGCTGCCGTGGGCCGAACAATGGCACACCCAGCACGGGGGGGGAGACTCAGCCGACGTCGAGACCTACTACCAGAGGGAGATGAGTGCGACAAGTGAGGGGGACGACCTGAGTGACGGCAGTCACCGTAGACGCCGCCTACACGCGGCAGGGCTCAACTAGGCCAAAGGGGACCCGCGAGCCATACCATGCTGCAGCCTGTTCGATGCAACCCCAGGGGGAAACGCCTCTCTCTAACATGTATCCTTACCCCCTCTCTCCTTTTCCTCTGGGGGACCAAAGAACAGTAGGTCGAGCAGTGCCGCAAACCCAGTTAAAAACGCCGAAAGGGGGGAGTAGTGATGTCTGCAAGCTGTTGTCGCCTCGAACACTCCTGTGATACTGTTGTTTCCTACCAGGCAGCCCCCCTGAGGCGGTAGGATAGCCGTAGCGCTCACACTCGCTAGCTCCATAGCTACCTTGTAGAAGCACAGGGGCTACTGCTCGACAAGGGGGATGATACCCCGCATCTTTTCCCTCGCTGAAAGAGGGGGACGTAACAGTAACCGTTCTGCGCTCACTGTCCTACCTACAGGCCGCACGTCAGGGGAAGAGGGTCTACTGGCTAGCTACCTTTCGCATGATAGAAGTGGTGGGAACACCTTTGACCGTCGGCCAGAGCCTCAGTCTGCAGTTGCGAGGGGTGTGGTGTTCTAGCTTCTTACATGTTGTTCGCTTAGCCTGCAGTGACTGAGCCGTAGAGGACAACGGGGGGGAACCCAGCATGCGGTTGTGTGTGACTTGGATGTTATTTGGACATTGTGCCTGATCAGCTGGGGGAACCTCGAAAGCAGACTGTGTACAGCCGAGCCACCCAGGGGGCAAAAGGCCCGGGTGGATTTCCAAAACCCCGCCGGGACTCGCGGGTGCGCGTGCGCGCGCGGAGGGGTAGGGTTCGTCCTTGCCTCTCCTGCCCCGGTAGAGAGAGAGAGAGAGAGAAACCCGACCTAAAACTTCTTGGCAGGAGCAGGAGAAAAACCGCCCTAACAAACCGTAATGACTTATCTAAACTCACTAGAGCCGTGGTTGCCGATGACCTGTCCCTGTATGACTAGTTGTACTAGCTTCAGCAGACAAACGTTCGTGGAGACACTTTGTTGCACTGTCAAGTGAATCAGTTCGGCTTCGGGCCGTATGTGTGTTTGATGTTGGTATGTGTGGGTTGGTTTCGTGTGGTGCCTGATTCCGCAGGGCGGGTGCCTGGCTTCCCTGGGCTCGTATGCCGCTGTAGCTGTTGGCTAGCATTGGGTACGGCGGTGCAAAGGCCAGGGTAGTAAAGCTGCGACCTGTGAAGCTTTGCCTGCCTCGAGCGACCGCAAGAACGAAACCCTAAACGCTGAAGCCTGAGCTTTCCGGGTCTGACGAGACGGGAGTGGGACGTTTAAACAGCTCTGAGGCCCTAAAGCTTGAACCGGAAACCCTAACACCTACACCCCAGAGGCAAAATCTTTAAAACCTGAACCTTCAAGTAGTCAGGCAGAACTTTGAAAATAGTGATAGGATGAATGACTAAAACCTGCGCCCTAAACCCTACAAGCAAAAATCGCTAAAGCTTTCCTGAGGGCACGCTTATCGCCTGAAGAGCAGCTCCGGCTTGTCCCTCGGATCCCCGCTGTCCACCGAGTTCACCGCCTCTTGCCTTCAAGACTAAAAGGGGGATGTTCTAATGTAGGGGCCTTAACAATTACCTATACTACTTCGGCGGGGCTCCTGACTATAGTTATAGTATAATATACCTCGAAACCCTATTCTAGTTATTGAGGCCCCTACATTAAGCTGGTAGAGTAGAGTAGAGTGGTGCAGGGGAGACCAGAGTAGAGTGGAGTAGTGTTATGTAAGGTTGAGTAGGGTGAGTAGAGTAGTGTAGCTTCGGCCCCAGTGTAGGGTCGAGTAGAGTAGAGTAGATGTTAAATAGCATGCTGTTGGGTGGTTGGGCCTGGGGCTCCAGGCTTCAGGGGCTTCGGGATGTTAGGACTTCAGGGCTTTAGGGGTTTAGGGATCTTTGCAGGGTGGCTAACTTTTGTTTTCGAGTCTTCTATCATAGGGACCCCAGCAAAGGCAGCAAGCCCAGAACTGTCATGTAGGAGCCTGAACAATGAGTTGTGACAGTTTTTCGGGCTCCCCAAGTCATGTTTATCATGTTGTAGTCAGCCCTTAACTATTAACTTGCCCTATTCTCAGCATACGGGCCTCTATATGACAAGCCGGCCGCAGCTTCTGAGGCACTTGCATACTTGAAGCTCACGGGGAGTGACGACGCCGAGGAAGCGACCGTTATGCTCAAAGAAGGACGGACCTGCCGGCAAGTCGGGTTCTATCTACTATGATGCAGACATACAGACATACATACATACATACATACATATGTACACACATGCACATATGCATGTGTATATATATACATACATACATACATACATACATATGTATCTAGAGGCATGTGCACAAGCTAGAATCATCATAAAAGCTGTAAGGCTGTACGAGAGCAAGCATGAGGATGCATAAGGTTGTGTTTGACTTGGCGTGCCGCAATAGTAGTACATCGGGGCAGATGGCCATCTGCAACAACATTTCGAAACACAGCGCAGTATATGCCAGTATAGGCAACCTCGAACATATCGTTTGACGGTGTTTGCTGACATGCTCTGACGGATCCGAATATACTTTGCAAGAAATGAGCTGGCATATGTCACACACACACATGGTAGCGCATAGCGATGTGTGATGCTATCGTTAGAGCGTTCCGCGGCACCTAGCCTGCTGGAAATACTTCTCGCAGCATGCAACCCAGCATCGAACATCGCCTTTGGTGACATTTCTTGTGGCAGCTCGCAAGATGAGGGTGCTCGGTGCGCAATTCCTGAAGGCGGCCCTGACGACCACGGCGCCTGGGAGCTTGTGGCTACACCGCTGCAGCAGTTCCGCTTGCGATCCTTCAGGGACCAAAGCCGCCACGTTGTGCTTGTATCACACTCACTGTAATGCTTCTATTCCCGGCTGCATTCTGCAGGACCCGAAGTCCCAGACCTTCATCGGATGCCTTTGCCTCTCCTCCTATGCGGACGAATGGGCATCGGTAGCAGCCACTTGGGTGCAGCCAGGGTTGAAGCCCGGCAGACCGCCCAGTCTCTTCTTAACCTTGGGCGCTGGGTCTCTGCAAAGCCCAAGATCATGACGTCCATTATCTGTAGCACAGGTGCGGTACGATGGCAAGGGTGAGAAGCTGGATCTTGTGGTCAATGGAAAAGTCTGCTGCCAGGCAGACAAAAGCACCGATTCTTGGCAGAATGCTGGTGAGATCATTTTTCCCAAGACTTTGCTTGCCGCCCCAGTCAGCCAATGAATAATGTAGCTTGCGCTGTCGTATCTATATAGGTGTGCTTCTTCAAAATGCACTTGCAGCGTGTCGCCGAGGAGCCGTCCTGGTCGGATGCTGCACTTAGACAGAGCAGCTTGGCAGTGTTGATTGTAGCAGTTGCCTCATCCTCTTTGGCTGCGGATAGCAGCATAGCCAGCAGGTAATTGCACAGTTGTTGGTGGCAGTGGATGCAGTCGCTCCTTCGTTGCTCTCACTCTTCCTCCTACCACTGGGACGTCTCCTAGCGACTATTACAGCTGCTTCTGCTGCTGCTGCTTCTGCTGCCGGTCCTCGGACTACTACAAAACGACGACTGCTACTTCTTGGTGCCTGCTTGCATGAAAAAATTACCCATGTTTCGCAAGGTACATTGGTGCATTTGGGCATGGTTCCGGGCTCCGTGCGACCCGGAGCTGCTGCGGAGGTCCACGCAGTGCCTCGGCAGGAGGTGTAGACGGGCTTGGAAGTTTCTGGCTCTGGTTGGGTTCGGGGTCGAGTGCTAGAAGACAGGGGCAGCAGGAGCTGTCAGGCGTTGAGTTTTGCGGTTCTGCGGTGCATGTGGTTTCGTGCGAGCTGAGTTTCGAGGGCGCAGCATAGTGTCAGCACTCTGCACCGCACACAAGCAATCGCCTCCAAGGTGCAACTCTGGGAGAGCGTCGCTTGATACTGCAAAGAAAATGTGTTTGGCCGTCTGCGTCGCGATAACCTCCTTTTGGCTGTAGCCGTCAGCAGCCTTGCTCTGTGTGTAGAGTGTATCAGAGAGTCCGGTCTCCAGTCCGGTCGTTCGGAAGCTGTTGGCCAGGTGTCCAGGTGTCCAGGTTCGAAGTTGAACGCACGCATGATGCAGACTCACTCAAGTTTGTATTCGCTGAAGACGCCTGGGCCTGGAGTGAGGCACTGACTGATCCCGACCTAGACCACCTGGTGGCTCATTTCTCCCATGCGCCTGGCCTGTACTTTTTTTTTTAGCCCCTGCACCCATGATTCCCATGTAATGCCTCTTGCGCGAGCTCCGGTTTTCGGGGCTGTCTTGCAAGCTGCACAGAAATGTCATAGGCCCTGCACGACAAGAATGCGATGAGGTGATGGCATGGTCGAAGGCTGCGGAGGGTGTGCCGATGATATCATCTCCAACGAAAGAGGCCACGCTGAGCGATCGAGCCGGGATTCCCTCATCAAATCTCAAAATGCCTCCAACGCTGGTGGGAAGGTACTCATGTTTGTTGCACGGTGACAGATGCCTCAGAAAATAGCTGCCGGCCGACAAAACTTTGCATCAACGGGTAGCCCAGTAAGGTGGAAATCATTTCTGTATTTTCGGCATCCAGGCGGACAAACTGTCCAATAATTATTGGGCACCCCCCAAAGCAATGAACAACACCCGGTTGCACAATACAGTCGGGCCCTTAGGCCTCCCCCGATTAATCAGTCAGAGACTCGCTGACAGGTCTATGTTCCAGCAAGCAGCAGTCCTGGAAGCCTTTTGTACAAGCGAAGAGCCTGCAGCTGGCGTCGGGCTGGCCGCAACACACAGGGTTCTGCTCAGAAGAGAGAGGCTCCCCATGCCCTGGCGAAGAAGAAGAAGAAGAGAGAGAGAGAGAGAGAGAAATGTGGACTGGTACTGTCACCCCCCGAAAGCCCCACAAACCGTGGGGGGGCCCGAGTCCCGGAGGGGTCTTGACCGCCCCTTACGCCCGAGGGAAGAAGAGGAAAATGTATATGGAAGAAAATGTCTGTCTGCATGTACGCATATATGTACGTACGTGCGTATGTACGTGTGTGTATACATACACACACGCAGATACATACATACATACCTACATACATACATACATACATACATACATACATACATACATACATATATATATATGTATATAGATATATATATATATATATCAGTCTTCCGGGAACCGAGCTCCTCGCACCCTCATCTGCAGGCGTCACAAGCCTGGCAGCGTGCAGGGCTCTCTGCGATGCGAGGAAGAGCTGCAAGTCTGTCCAGCCTGGAGCTCAGGGTTTCTCGTATATGAGGGGGCCCGGGCAAAGGATACCCGGATGCAACAGACAGAGTCGGACATCTTGGCTGCAGGTTCCAGCAGCACACGGGGATCTGTGAGCTGCGCAGCACTGCGGCTTGCACGAGGGCCGAAGGCTGTGCGTAAGGAGCTCAGAGACCACAGCTGCAGAAGCTTCATAGAATCAAACTGCCCATGTGCGGGCGGATAGCCAGCCAGCCCGAGCCAGTGAAGGTGTTCATGAGGACTTGGTTTTTTCGTGTCCTTCCTTACTATGAATGTCGAAATCGGATGGTCGGACCGTTTGTTCATGGTAGTGTCCGCTTGAGTTCAACAAGTCGATGTTCTCTCAGTAGGCTTCCTTCAAATCATTTTGTCTGAATGTCTTGACCGCACTCTTTCGGCTCGGCGCCTTTTTCTGGGTTTCAGTCCAAAATTTCAAAGGTGTCAGTGTCAAATCATTGTCAAGGTCAGTCAGTGGTCGTGCAAAGCTGGGTTGCTGTTTAGGAACTCAAGCTAATTGTTATAACAAGGAAACCCGATTATGTACCATATACCCTGTTATCATAACTCATGATAAGTTTCTCTTAACAGCAACCCAGAAAAGATGTGTGGGAGGAGCCGCCGGCATCATGTCTCCCCGGCCCTGGACCGTAGAGTTCAAAGCTACGCCATGGCCCGACGATAGAACACGGTGTACTATGTTGTATTAATATTATTCTTTATGATTGTTATCAGTATTACTACTATTCTTATTTACAGTTTGAGTGGCGCTGATCGATTTTTTAAGTTTGAATATTCGGCACTGCTTGCTGTTACCATGTTGTGATATGAGACTCCAGGATGCATCTCGCACCATGTAGCCTGAACCTCCGAGCCCCGACATTCGGAGACCCCAGGGCCGAAAATCCCAAGACCCTGCATCCCAATTCCAGGTGCGATGCGTACTCTGGAAGCTTTGTCTCGACTCACTGCCCCGATGGTGCCTTAGCATGCTTGGGTGAAGGTGGTAGGACTCCAGTGGTTGCAGTGGTGAGGGTCATGTGTTTCATGACGTCATCTGTGGCTTATGATGTGTCGACTTGCTGGTCGTTTCGTTAGCAACAGATCCTTTCTCGAAATCTGCTGATGCAGCTCATATGCGAGAGTCAAACTTGCGGCGCATCTCTAGCATCTCTGAGATTCGAATCTAATCAGGCGACCTGGTCGCCCCTGTCACGAAGCTGCCGGGCCTTGCCCGCTACCCTGCGACCTGCATGGGTGCTGCGAAGAAACCCTGGTGGCGAAAGAACTGAGTCGAACAGCATCTTGCTCAGCGTTTCACATCTTTTCAGCAGAATCGGGCTGCGCCTTCTTCCTCAGAACGCATCTGGAATTGCAGAAATCACGACACGCAAGTAGGAACACTTGGGACCAGGAAGATTCTCGAAACATCTGGCGCCTTTGAATTGAAGCCTGCAGCTCGTCTCGTCATGCCGAAGCTCATGCTGGAAAAGACACTTTCGATTTCATGAGTCGAGCTAGAACAAGGTTTTCTTACGGAATGTTTCATCCTCGAAGCAGTGTGGCACACGCTATTTAGGGTTCAAGCTCCCAGAGTACGGAGAATCCGTTTGTAAGAGCAATATAACATCTCGTTTGGCACTAGAGTTCACTATGATAATGCTGGCATGAAATGTTATGATATTAGATTTATATGGGTTTCTATTTAGGAGGGCGGTTGGCGAATTCAAGTAGACATGGTTATTATTGTATTTAGAGATTTCTTTTACCTTTTCGGTAGAGCCTTGTATTGGGTATGTTCAAACTCTTTTTTTTGGCAGGAGATCCGCGATAATTTGGCGCGAATAAATAATAAAAGAGAAGGTATAAGGTTTGATATCTCATAATAAATTCTAGATAAAATTTTAGAATTTATTGTTATTATTGAATTTTAAATCTGAATTTTTCGATTTAATTCGTATTTGGATTAGATTCTAAATATGAATTCGGAATTATTCTTAAAGAATCCCTTTTCATATATATATTACCATTATCGGGAGTTATGACATTCGAAATTTTAAATGAATATTTATCGAATTCCTCTGTTAAATTTCTTTTTCGCCGTTTTGGTTATAATAGATGTATTCGTGTTGGGTAGGTAGAGAATGGCCATGTTAAAGTTCTAATTAATTTGTTTGTTGCTGGGGTAGGGACTGTGTAATTAAAGATCGGTATCTGGAGCAATAATAAAGAATGAAAGATTGATTCGATAGGAATTTTCTTCTTCTGAAATTCGAAATCTAATCTTGAATGTTGAAATCTCGATAATTTCTTAGATTTTCTGCATAATAATATAATGGAATAACTCTAGCCTGGTGCCGTTTCCTGAGGTATTATTATGCTTCATATCTTCTTTGACGATTAAATTACGTATTCGTTTTCTCGTATATTTAAGGCGGATCCCCAATATACTCCGCATAGCGACCTCTATTAAAGTCAGATATTTATATGAATGAAATCGCATATTTAATATGTATTTTAGTATTTGAATTTATGATTAATATTCTATTTGTTTATTAGCTATATATTTGTATTTCTTTGTCTTTATTTGAATTCTTTCTTTCTCTAAGAAAAGATTGAAGAGATTCTATTATGAAATATAATCTTTTGAAGAATTGGGAACTGACTATATTATTTTTCTTTTTCTTATTAATTTTCAATATTTTGGAATTAGTTTTATTTATGTATATATATATATAATA